CTACTGACATCTGGGACAAGGAACCTGAACCATTGAAAGCTGCTAAAAATAACAGGAAATTCATCTGATCAAACCAACAGCTGTGTGTGACAGAATAAGAACACGCCTGAGACGGCTGAGAGTACCAAATGGTGCATGACTGATCAAGAACACTGCTTACCTAGGAGAGAGGTAATTTACCTTTTGCTGATGAGAGTTCTTTTCTTGTGGCAATTCTGTCTGTAAAAGAGCTCATGCTAACTCATAGACAGGCAATGTCAATCTAAACCCTTGTATTCAGCCTCTTCCTGGACTTCATTTTGGACTTACTTCCATCTCTCATGAGCAAATGGCACTGCATGACACCTGAGCTGAAAAAACTGTCTTGGGACAGGCTTTGTGTCCCTTTCGTCTGGTTAGGAAAAGGTCACTTGGGTGACACATGGACAGTCACGTAAAACGTACACCTCATAACATGCTATGAGAAAGGACTGTACTGGGCAAGGAATGTTTTACTATTTATGGTAACACTGAAATTTTACCACTTCCATGGCCCATGTCATAAAAGCAGTAAAGATCTATTATAAAGCCAACACTGTTATTATAGTGTCCCTGGACAGAGTGTGAGGTTCAGGGTTCAGAGATTTATTTTCTATTTTTACAAGTTTAATAGGGTTAGAGATTAAGGAAGGATGATTTTTGAACAAGACACTACACAGCTATGAAACTTTAAGAGGACAAAGACTAGATGAACACACTCCCCTAAGCAGTATTTTCTCTTTAAAATGATTTTTAATCTATTCTTTCTGATCTTTCCCTTTTATTATGGGACATGGTTTTCACATTTTGCTGTGGGCTCAGAGACATTTTTCTTATCAAGATTTAGGTAAGTTATCAGTAACTCAGTAATTCCCTGAGTTACTACCGGGAATTGTGTGATACGCTCCAACCATCAGCTTCCACTGAACACCATTGTGATTCACAATTGCAAATCTCAAATAGCACCTTGGGGGACAGCAGTTGGTGAAATGGCAATGTCCCTGGACTCCCATGTAGTCGACTGCAGTTCGAGTCCCGGACCCGGCAGCTTAAACTCACGCTGGGTGTGTGTGCATGTGTGCCCAAGATCCTAAGGGGAGAATGGAGGAGAAGGGGTTGCAGCATGGCCATCCCCCCTGGGGGGTTATTTCTTGTTTTCTGTCTCTCTGGCACACACATACACCCTGCAGCAATAACCTCTCCAAAAAAAAAAATTAAAAAAGCATTTTGGAATCATTTTTAGAATGTGTTCTAGAGGAATCTTAGTATTTCTCTAGTAAATTAAAAAGACAGAAAAGTAAAAGTAAAGCTCATAGAAACACACCCCTTTTATAGAAAAGTGTATTCTAGTGTGGGGGTGATTGAAAAAGAAAATAAGATGTTTCATAAAGATTCCACACAAAAAGAATGATTTCCCCAACAGGTGTAGCAGGAAAGAACTCTCTACTATAGAACACCTGGTCTACCTTCTGCTTCCCAGAGAACAGTCATGTACGACAAGTGACTGTTTCCAGCAGAATGAGGGTTAGGAGGGACACAGCCCAATAGCTGGGAACCAGGTGCTGATCCTGAAACTGATGACTGCTGCCTTCTTTGTGGGAATCAGGGGGTGGGGATGGATAAATCAAGTTCAACAACTCTGAGGGCCAAGCAAGTTCTATTTTCTTCAGGTAAATTCTGAAATGGACCCCTAGCTTACACCCAGCTATGTCATCTCCGTCAACGCCTCCTTTCTTTCTCCCAAGGGCATGATGGTTGTCCTCAAGGTCATCTAGAGGATAAACAGAAATTAAACTGGCTGGACCTCCTCCTTTGAGATCCCAGTGGCCAACTGTAACATCAATGTTTGTCTCTATACTAGTTATACATGATTTTAAAACAATGCCTTGCACTTGAACATAAACCTAAAAATTCTATCTACCAGTGTGTATTTTCTTCTATTAAAAGGTGCATTGAACTCACCTTTAGCTTCATGAACTTTTATTTAAAATACTATCCAAAGTAATTCTAATTTTTGCATAGACTCATCACCTCCAAGAATACACTCAGTAATTAATTGGTTTGATCTTTCTATTTCATAAACCTCTAACTTTGCCCTTTGGAAAAAGGTATAGAAAAGCACTAGAGATCTCAAAGTCACTCTTTTCAGCAGATCTCACAGCTGAGGGTTAAGTTCATCCTTTGCCTAGGTCTCTGGTTATAAGACAAAAGTTAATAGAAAAGCCCCAATTTAGAAAATTTTAAAATTCCATCATGCATTTTGTTTTGATGGCTCAACTGTGAAACAGAGTTGTAAAAACAGAATATTCTGTTTTAACAGAAAACCCACAAAAGTGGGTGCCGACTTACAGGATGACCACAGTCCACGATAAGCTCTGTGACTGTGGAGCACGTGGCATGAGCTCTCTGGAGAACAGGTCCCCAGAGGTCCCCCAACGCCATGCCCTACACTTTTGTATAGGATGGTGGCAGTGGGTAGCCCATTTTCAAGCAGGTTCCCTCTCTCAGCAAAGCAGCGCTCACCGAAACGAAAGTAAAACAGAGGCCGGTTCCCAGTGGCGCTGGCCGCCCGCTCCCTGGCCGCGGCTTCTCGGATGTCGCACACCCCGATGTGGGCAGAGCGGAACGTTCTTCTTGTTGCTCCTTCACTGGGCTGCAGTCTACACCGAACCACGGCAGCTCCATTCGCTGCTGTAACAAGTTGAAAAAAAACTAATTAATTCAAACTTTAGTTTTTTTTAAATTTGTTACAGCGCTGAGCAGAGCTGCCGACCCCAGAGGGAACACAGGCATGGCCGCCCCAGTGCCAGCCGACTCTGGGGACAGCCTTCTTCTTGTTGCTCCTTCACTGGGCTGCAGTCTACACCGAACCACGGCAGCTCCATTCGCTGCTGTAACAAGTTGAAAAAAAACTAATTAATTCAAACTTTAGTTTTTTTTAAATTTGTTACAGCGCTGAGCAGAGCTGCCGACCCCAGAGGGAACACAGGCATGGCCGCCCCAGTGCCAGCCGACTCTGGGGACAGCCACACCTGGCACAGCTGTGGCTCCCGGGCCACCTGCCGGGGGAGCGGGGAAGCGCTT